AATTGAAAAGAAGGGTTTAACCAATATCTAGCAGCATGAAGATTCTTACGCAATTGACTTTCCCATCGGTTCTTAATAATTTGCAAATAAGGAGCAATTCTATTTTTCCTTCTTTGTAATTTGCGTTCCATCTCACTTTTTGCCACATGAGTAGCTTCATACAAGTAGCCCGTTGAAGGCTTTCCGTCACTATCAACAATGCATAGAACACAAACAAGGAGCTCAGTAAGTTGCACAATAGTAGCACACTCTTTCCAAAATACTGGATCAAGTACATCATCAACGAATCTTTTTCCTTTACTTTCTTTTGCATATGCTGATAATGTAATCTTAATGGATCCTTTTGGATCAAAATGCTTTGTAAAGCAATAAAATTGGTGGCAAAACAAGTGGGAGCAGGTCGAAGTATTTCTTTTCCTTCAGTAAACTTTCTCATCAAATGTAATGGGTAGCAATGATTGTATAAGTATTTAGTGATTTTTGATGCCTGAGATACGACATTACTAACTTCATCAAGCTTACCAATATCATGAAACATTAGATTAATGCAATGGCCTGCACATGGAGACCAAAATAATGTTTGAAACTCTTATTCCAATAACCTACCAGCGGCAACATAATTTGCAGCATTGTCTGTCACCATATGGACCATATATTCTGAACTTACAAATAACATAACATCTCAAAATAATTTGTATAACATGTCAACAGATTTTGATTCATTTGAAGAATCTACAGATTTTAAGAATATTATTCCTTTTGGACAATAAACTAAAAAATTAATGAGAGTTCTTCTACATTGATCTGTCCAACTATCTGCCATAATTGTACAACATGTAGCCTTCCATGTTGAACGATAGCTTTCAATGTAATTCTGCACCTTCTTGACATTTTTAGCCAAAAAATAACCTCGAAGACTGTGAAAGTTTGGACCTTTATAGCCAGGGCCCATGCTAGCTATGACATCTATACTTTGTTGATAGTACACAAAATTTATAGCATTGAGAGGAATACACGAATCAGTCATCCACTTCGATAGAGTAAGATCACACTTTTCGATGACTTCTTTGCTCTGAAGAACTCGTTTGATAGTAGGTTGGTTACTAGGACCTGTTCTTGGCATGAAGTAAGAACCAATCCCCTTTTGTTCTTTTAAGTGTTTAACTCTGCTTTCCTTTCTTTCATTTGTCCCAACAACTGTACCCTTTCCTTTAGAATTATGAGGGATGATTTCTTGAACATCATCATCTCCCAAATCTCTATACATTTGCTCTTCTTTTTCTCGATAGTAAGAACTATGTGGGTTACACCCATCAAGAATTTCTTGAGTTTTACGCTTCTTTGCAGCAAAGACGTCCAAGTTTTCTTCATTTGAATCTAACATCTGGAGGTACTTTACGACATGAATCAACGTCACCTTTCATTCCCGCTAAGTGTTGTTTGACTCGATTGATACCACCTCCGGCGAAAGTCTTTCCACAATACAAGCAAACAAGGTTTTTTTTTTTTTTTTGTTTATATTTCTATTATTACTAGCTTCTAATATCTCTTTACAATGACCCCATGCAATATCTATTTTTCCTCTAGCACAATTCTTTAGTGGAGATGAACTATGCGGTGTACTATTATCACCAATGAACTATACAAAGGGAAAAAAACTATACATCATGCTTGTTCACCATTGGAAAATTAATGAACATAGACTACTTAAGCAATTGCTTATTAATATCAAGGAAATGTACATGAAGTTGAGGCAATTTCATAAGACTTGACATACGACATCAATCTCAACAGACATCAATACATCTAAGACTTTTCTATGTATATGTATTAAGGAATTATTAGACTAAAATCAGAAAAGATTATTAATTTCAAGTTAAAAGTTTGTTTTGTTCTAATTTGATCTCCAAATACCTCTACAATACATCTAAGAAGTAATGCAACTATTGGATAAATGTCATGTCATGTAACTCAACAAGAAGCATAATAAATTAATGAAAGCTCAAACTACAACCAGCAATACATCTACTTACTGCTCATAATGAAATAGAATTATAGGAACTCATTCTCACTGGGACCTCGCTTCAAATTAAAACATCACGAAAATTAACATAAAAGTTATAACATCACAGTACATAACATCACACTCATGAACTCCAACTCCATCAAAAGAAAAAGGCAAGAGAAAAATGGAAATGAATCTAACTCTGGCAGATTCATACAACATGTTCTTGCTCATCCATTAAATAATTACCATAGAGATTAATATTCCAAGCATAGTTATCACAAGAAGGAAATAGAACGAAGTGAAGCTCTTGACAATTTACAACGTTATTCTTTGAAAATGTGAACTGGTAGCAAGTGATTCCATAAGAATGTCACGAATGAGTATGATTAATCAAATTAGCCAACTGTAGGTTTGTTATTGTTGAATTTACTTTCCAGTGCACTGGCCACCTGCTTGCTGCCAGACTAGTGACAACACTTACGAGGAGAAAAACATCAGTGTTGCCTTCCAAGTTATCAACAACACTCTCAATATCATAACAGTATACCCATAAAAGCTTCCTTAATGCAAAAATTGGATAACTTGTAATGAAACTAAACCAGAAGCATAATAAATTCATGCAAGCTCAAACTAAACCCAGTGACCATTTTGGAATTAACCACAAAAATCCTATTTCCCATCACCACAACCAACGAACTAAACAAGACAATAATTTCTTATTGCAATATTTTTGAACAAAAAAACAAGTTAACAGAAGAACACATATAAGGTCTTTGTAATTACTTAACCAGTCGGCTCACGAAAAACTGGTGCACGGGTTTGTTTAAAAATCGGGGTTCAACCAGACTGAAGTCGGGTTACCTATCGAGTTTTAAATTCAATGAGCTCGGACTGGACCAGGGTCCGGTTCAGGGATTTCTGGATTGAACCGGTCGGTCTGGTCTGGGCTTTATAACTATGATTAAAAGTATGTGCACTTTATAACCAATAACCAACTTTCAACTAATCTAGCCTCCTCCGTTTCTTAGGACCAACAACGAATATTAGTACATCAATTCTTGCTAGAGAGTTGTAATGGGTTTGTGTATATTGCTGAACGAATCTCTAATGATGAGCATCTCACGTGCAAATTTATTGGAGTATTGTTGTACTTTGGACATAATGGGCACGATCTTGAGTTTTTTTCGTGAGTCCTCAGAATGAGATAATGTCGAAATCTTTTGCTTGAATACAAATATTTTGAAATTTTTTTTTATTAATTTTGAATTTTCTCAATAGAAATTTTAAATAGTACCAATCAAATATATCTAAAACCTGAGGAGTTCCATTGGCCTAGTTTTGGAGATAGGCTATCAAAGATGCCACTTGGATTTGCAAGGAACTTACCTGATGAGCACTCTGGTGGTGGGTGGTTTTTTGTAGCTTCTATTGGGCGGTGATGCCAAATATTCCTCTTTGGGCAATGATGAAAAATGGCCTAATTTGGTCCAGCTGGTAAGGAAAACTAGGATATTTCTCCTTGCACAGACCCTGTACACAGGGTCTGTGCAAATAGCACAGCCCGGAAAACTATTGCCTAATAATTTCATGAGTTGGCCCGTGTAAGTGCATTTCATGCGCGTATGCGGCTTTCTATTCTTATATAATTGTATACAAATTGAATGATTATCTACTTAATTTGTGTAAATTATGTAAAATGTAGGAAAATTTCAACTTGGATACAACTTATATGAAAAGAGGCTATTTGAAACTTAATTGGAGTTTATTTGAAGCACTTGAAGATTAACCGAATTGCAAGATATCAATTGGGAATATTAATGAAGCATTCGATAAAAAAATAAAGTTATGTGAAAAAAGGAGTTCAATTAAAAAGTTTCCTTTTATTTCTTAAACTCTTTGATAGAAACTAATTTGAACTCTTTAATAAAAATCAATTTAAACTCTTTGATGAAAATAAAGTTGAATAAGGATTTTGCATAAATCCTTTCTATAAATACAAACCTTAGGTTAACGATTAAAGGGGACTTGTAGGATTTCATTATATACATACATTCAAGCAAAGGCTTGGGGATTCATTGTACATATATTATTCCAGCCAAAAGGAGGGAAAATCAAGAAATTGATCAAGAAGTTAGGGTTTCAAGGATTTTACAAGAAGAGACGGATTTTTTATGCAAAATTTTCATATTTTTCTTGCTTTTCCTTAATACCCGGTCAAGTACTTTAATTCCTTGTATTTTTTTTTCTCATGATATGTGATTAAGTATTTAGTCAGGATGAATAATTGTAACCTAGTTTTGAACCTTATTTTTAATTAAAAAGATTTAAATCTCAAATTGATTTTGTGGGTTGTTTTTACTTCCAATCTTAAAGTTGGGATTAACTGGCCACTAATTCATTGATTTCGTGAACAATAATTACGTAGAAAAGCATATTATTTGTTTAGATCACGTATTAAAAGTTGGTAATTAGTATAAAACGTAGTTATACTTATGCTAATTGTTGTGGTCGTTACATGAATTCTTAGAACATTAATTGCGTTTAACTAAGATTCAGTCACATAGATATATGGAATTAAATTAGTTTAATAGACTATATGAGAACTCGAAAAAGATAAATTAAATACATTAAAAGAATTCGATCAGGTAAATATAATCAATTGTATAAGACTTGATAGTTGAGATTAAGGGGATAATTATAGTGAACTCATGAATTCTAACACTTAAATCATCCTATTAAAAATCACTTTTACTTGTTTTAGTATATTTGACGCATACATCTTAACGGAAAATTGTCCATCAGGAGATCCTTCTTGGTCCTGAGGCAAATGTATTTTATGCTAATATTAGTTATTAATAAATGAACTTGAGGTTTTGAGTAGGAATATATTACAGTGTACTTTCAGATTGAACTAGTTTTGGTTATCAAACCCAACTACAGTAATCCAAAGATATAATCATATTTATTATATATTATAAAGACATAATCATACCTTCATTTTGTACTTGTGAAGTCCACACTGATGATGGAGTCTCGCTTGAAGTACAAAACTGATCTAGTAACACTCCAGTCTTGTTTACCCAAAACAAATCCTAATCAACACGAATTAGTATCTTAACAAGAATTCATAGTACAAAAGGCATTTTTCATAGTCAATTAAAGTACAAAATGAAAATCAGGAACAAAAACCTAAAAATTATGTATCTAGAATCAATGACCATATGTGGAACTACATAAGTATTTTGTTAATTATGGCTGTAGAAGAAAATGATCTCTTAAATCTTCTCTTTTCTCTATACTTCTAAGCAATGATTAAAGAAAATGTTCTATTAAATCTTTTATCTATTTTGTTAATTATGGCTGTAGAAGAAAATAATTCTAGATCTTCTCTTTTTTTTTTGCTTTTTTTTTTCTATACTTCTAAACAATGGTTGAAGCTGGTGCATAACTTCCATCGTAGATTTCCCTAGATTAAATCAAAAGTGATTCTCTGGACATAAAAAAATAAAAATAAAAATTAAAAAAAAAATAAAAAAATAAAAAATCCACCATTAGAAGCTTTCTTACAGGCATACACTTGCGCTTGAGCTTTGCATTTCTCAATTTTGTAATGGCCAAGAGTTGGAAGTAAATTTGCCCTAACTCTTTATGCTTCTATAGGAAATCAGTACATGTGGACTGTTTGTATGGCGCAACCCACCCATGTGCCTTAGATCTAAAGAATATCCTCTGGGTTGCTAAGTTCCATTACACTATTCTAAAAAGAAAGTAGTAGTCCCAAAAGAACAATGAGTCGCTTGAAAGTTAGTTTGTTTATTGTTTATGCAGATTTGTTCATCAATGGGTTAAGTCATGTTTTCAGCATCATTCCACTGATGCCTCGCACATTTCCTATTTTCATCATCTCACATTCATTAAGAAATGCATATGAAATGATATCAATCAAACTTCCTCCATGTTTGTGACAACATCATTTGAATGAATATATAGCTACTACATTTATCCTAAACAGAGCAAAGCAGAAATGGAACCTTTGAACAGCATAGTAGTTGACAAAAAATTTACATAGCCATAGCAGCTCAACTTTCACACAATACTCCAGTGGTGAGGTAACAATTGTTTTGACCTCCAGTTGCTTTATAACCTCATCCGGCTTCGCTAGCTCGGTAACTCTACTAATTTTCTTACCTGGAAAATAAAAAAGCTATGAATGGACAGACTGGTATCAGTTATATAAACGGAATTCTTCAAATGATAGACTAATCTTTTTTAGTTTTTCTACATAGGTTTAAATTATAAAGAACTCACCATCCTCATAAACCTTAAGGAAAGTAGAGGTTCTTAGAGTTTCAGCAACAGCTTTAAATGTGTCTTCAGACACATTTCTATCTTTGCATCTTCCAAGACCAGATGACTTCTCATCCAAGAGAATTTTCATATGATGAATATAAAATTTAATTGCAAATTAGTAAACCTTACACATAGAAGAAAAATAAGGAAAAAATTTAAAGTTATAAAAAAGGGGGGAAATATACAAATGTAAAGACAAAAGAAAATAACAAAAAACTCGTTCGAATTTCGTAAATCCTAAACACGGAGTGATAACATTATGCACCACTGGTGAATGATTATCATCAGATATCCAATGAGACATACTATCCCTTATTAAGAAGCACACTTCGTCCATGACAAGAGTTGAGTTTTTCAAATGCTTTCTTATGCCACATATGTTGAAACAACCAAGGTATTGTGATATTTTTTACCCCTTAGAACAAAATAAACTAAACAAGTTTGCAACTTATATATTTCTTGTTGTGCTGGGTAATAAGTGAAACAACCTCACTAGACCCATTTAAGAATATATTGCTTGAAGTATTACATAGTTGTTCATCTCTTCCAAAGGACGGATTTAGAGACCTCGGCCTACTTTTGGAGCCCTTCCTCTTCGTTGCTTCCATCAGAGAACCATGTAGCAGACTCCTGGTCTTATTAGACAAGCCCGTGTCTTATATTTAATTAAGCGAGTCAACCATTATTCCATAATAGAAATTTCAATGACACAAATAACATTAAATCCTCCCAAGAAATGCATTCGCAGGCACTCCTTAAACTAAACCGTTCAATCTTCACTTTATTTATAGTTATAATTTGAGTGTGACCCGAATTCTTTGATGAAGATAATTGAGAATTCTAATTAAAGTATAGATTAAGAAAAAAATCTATTTGGAATGCTTTTGGAATCCTATTCGAAGACTATTGGGAAATTATAGTTGAAGTTCCATTTGGAAGTCCTACTGGAAGTTGAAATTTGTGTTGGATTTAAAGAGATCAAAATAAGGAAATTCTGAACATTCTATCACATCCACAACTCTTCTTCTAGGGCTTGAATTGTCCCTATATATAATTGACTCTTCTTCCAGATTATGTGTTGCTGAAATTGTATTTTTCTCTCCAATGATTGTCAATTAATAAAACTATCAGGTTCCTTTGCTAATCTCTCTTCTTTCTTTAATCTTGTTATTTCTTATACAATCAATACTTAATATCGTGTCATACTTGTCTCTCTGTTCCCAACAAGTGGTATCAGAACATATATAATTCTTGTCAAGGATCCCAACAGGTGGTATCAGAGCAATTGATTGTGGTTTTTTGTTATCAATGGCCAAACCATGAATTATGAAATATCACTTTTGGATCGCAATACAAGATTTTCGTTATGGCAGTGAAGCTAGAGTAATTGTGCATGATCAAAAGTCTGAAGAGCAACTTGCATCTGAAGTAGAGATTGTATTCTCATCACATGATAGAAAGCGGATATTTGGAAAATCATCTAGTTTTTTTCAAGGAGATTTTCGCTGATTTAGAGACATAAGAGGTAAAGTATGATGAAGAAGATTTGGCCTTAATCCCATTGTATTCGTTGCCCGCTTCATATACTTTATTTAGGGACATGATTTTGTATAGTCGTAATACTCTCACCATTGAAGACGTATTTGATGTCCTTTTCTCAAAGGAAAAGATAAAGTATCTAAATAGATCTGAGTCCAGAGTTGAATGAGGTCTTGTGGTTTATGGTGATTGATGAAGGGGTAAGTCAAGGTTGAGTTTCAGTAATCAGGTTTGCTATTATTGCAAGAAAAGACACATTAAGAGATATTATAAAAAATTGTAGAATGAAGGTACTTCGACTGCAAATTAGGGAAAGCAATCAAACATTTTTTACGAGACCAACATAGTTTAGGACTATTTGAGTGATGGAGATATCTCAACGATTTCTGACGTGGAATCCAAATTTGACGATGAGTGAATTTTGGATACTGCATATGCATTTCATATGTGTCCAAATAGTGATTTGTTTGAAGCATATGAAATGGTGATGCAATGTGTCGTTGTCATAAAAAACAATGAACCTTGTCGGGTAGTTGGTATTGGCACGATCAGATCGAAGTTGATGGATGGAACAATTAGAACACTTGGCCAGGTTTGACATGTTTCAGATTTGAAGAAAAATCTCATCTCGATGAGTACCCTTGATTCGAAGGGTTATAAATTTTCTGGAAAAAGTGGAGTCTTGAGAGTTCAGAAGGGTGTCCATGTTGAATTAGAGGGGCGGAAGAGGTCCCATTATACATCTTGCAAGGTCAGACAGAATCGATGAAGAAAAGTCAGCACAGGTTTAGTACCGTGGTGGAGATTCGATTTGGCATTATACCTTTGGGATTTGACTCTGGGCCCATATTGAAGAATACTACTAAATCGAGTTTGGAGGATATGGGTAATTCCATCTTGTCACCATTGTTCGCAGTTCAACGTGTTCAACTACTAGTGATAGACTATTGGAGATAGGTACGAGATGCTGATTTGGTTGTGCATGCTTTTGGAGTTGATTCTACTACAAGGTATACTTCGACCTTGTTTGGTATATTATGGATTCCTTGTGGGAATTTTGGAAACCCGATCTTTGGGTTCGGGTATTATTTGTGGATACTGTGGAAGAGGAAAAGGAAGAGTAATTTTTCGTGAGGTGGAGAAGTTTAGTTCAGGTTGAAGAGTTCAGTTTATTTTGCTGCAATCAAACTTATTTTTCCATGGGACTGCACAAAAAAATCGTGAAATCGCAAATCGAACCGAAAACGTTGATTTGAAACCGTTAGTTTGGGTCCACGTGGACTTGCGGTTTTTGTTTCTTCAAACCAAACCAAACTATTTAAAAATGGTTTGGTTTAGATTTTGATTTTAAAAAACCGCACAAAATCGAACCGAATCGAACCTTTTAAAATTTTTTTAATTAAAACATTAATTTCATTAACTTATAAATTTTACAGTTTTCACTTTTCAAAAAAATATCAATTTAGCAATATTTATAACCAACCCATTGAAATAATCATAGAAAGTAGATTAAATTTATCATTATTAGCCCATGGTTTAACAAGTTCATAACGCACACTATCACCTGATATCTAAACTAAACTAAAATTATTCTCAAATCATATGAATTGAAAAAAAAAAAACCCCACATATTTTCGACAATCCAAATTATAATTCAACAAAACTACGGCAGCAAATCATGTCCAAAGCTTTAGAAACCCTAACATAAACTCTCATTTTCTAAATATTTGATGCTTGTTTACCACTGCTGAATGTCTCAACAGTCACCTTTTGCTTGTTAATCTACTAATTTCTACCTGAATCACCTCTTTCTGTCTTCTCTCTCGGTAAGTCTTAGATTCTCATTTAAGCCATTTTTCTATTATTCTTTCTTTTTATTTATTGTTTTTGAACTTATTATCTACTTGTGAATTCTGATTTTGATAAAAATAAAATAAAATAAAAAAATGATTGTGTGCCTAGATGATTAATGAACTTGTTTGTGATTTGAAAAGAACGATGGACAAAGCGTATTGATTGTGTGAAAATATTAAAGTTCCTAATTAGTGTTACTATCTTCTGCTTTCATAAAGTAGTTAGAAAATGAAATTCGTCAATTTTCAATAAGCCTAAACTCTATTAATCTTTGTAAATTCAAACATTTTCCGTTCAATTCTTATTTACTATCTCATTAACAGGACAGAATGAGTTATAACTAAACTATAATAGCAGAATGCGACTCTACTTTTACCAACCGTTTGTGACAATATAAAAGTCAAACAAGAGAAAGTAAATAGAAATGAAGAAAGATGTATTTATTCTATTAATATCTTTTAGCAACTAACTGTGAAAATAATTTATTCATGTGTTTCACGGTAAATATGAATGTAATTTAATATTTAACATTATTAGTGGTCGTTTAAACTTATTTGTTAACTTGTTTTAAATATATTACTATAATGTCGATAAATAAACAGTGGATTAAAACTGAATCAAACTGCAAATTATGATTTGGTTTGAAAAAAATTCAAACCATATGAAATGGTTTAATTTGAAACTATAGCACAAACTGTATGAAATGGTTTGAGTTGAAAACTATAGCACAGATCGCACAAATCGAACCGCGTTTACCCTTATTTTTATAGGTGGAGAAATTTTGAAATTTCATTTATTGCACCGAAATTCATGTCAAGGTGAAGATTGTTAGAATTTGGGTGTGACCCGAATTCTTTAATAAAGATAATTGAGAGTTCTAATTAAAGTGCATATTAAGGGACCGTTTGAGCCCCATTATTTGTAAATTATAATGAGATGAATAATGTTTTTTTAAAAATGAGTGGTTGAAAAATTTTTGATTTACGTGTAATATCATTTTATTGAAGATTGTGTGGTTAAAAGTAGGAGAGAGAAAATTTTAATTTAATGTAATGAGAAATAATGGGGCTCAAACGGGGGCTAAGAAAAATTCTATTTGGATTGCTTTAGAATCCTATTCAATGTCTATTCACAAATTCTAGTTGAGATTCTATTTAGAAGTTCTATTGGGAGTTGGAATTTGTGTTGGACTTAAAGATATCAATATAAGGAAACTTTTGGGCATTCTATTTTATCCACAATTCTACTTCTAGGGCTTGGATTTTCCTATATATATTTGACTCTTCTTCTTGTATATGTATTGCTAAAATTATATTTTTCTCTCCATCGATTATCAATTAATAAAATTACTCGATTCCTCTACCAATCTCTCTTCTTACTTTAATCTTATTCTTGCTTGTACGATCAATACTTCATATCATGTCATACTTCCATCTCTGTTCCCAACATATATATCAGAGCATATATAATTATTGTCAGGGATCCCAACATTTAAAAAAAAATATATCATCATCTACAACTACAGAGGAATTTCACCCTTTTAGACGGAAGAGAACACAATGATAAGCTGCTGAACTTAAAAAGGAAATTCAAAGTCCTTAAAAGTTCTCTAAACAAATAGTTGACAAATAATAAAAATAAAAAGTATAATAAAAAGAAACAATAGCATGCTTTTATCATTTCCTCATGTTTTTCTATTTTATATACTAATTTTGTCACTCAAAAAAGCTAACAATAATGTGAACTTAGGAATCAGTAAAAATGGATCTATAAGAAAAAGCATCCCCTTTCCAATTCACAAAAACATAAATGTTATTTCTTTTTGCGTACTGACATAAAAACCTGAAATCAAGAAAATCTATCATGGCTGAAGATTAATTAAGAATGGTAAAACCTAACAAGCATTCTTGACTAAAAACCCACAATCATCAACTGATTCCAATAGATAAACAGAAAAACTCAATCTTGAAGCCTAGCAGATAAAAATCGAAACAACTTATTAGTTATTCATGAATCAATGGAAGAATAGTTTTCATTTCAAAAGCAATAGATAAAGATTGGAAGAAGAAAAGAGTGTTTCTTTTAGTTGAAAACTATAAAGACGTAGTAAATATATTTAGCGTTGTGACTCAACTTGAAGATGAAATTAGTGTGATTGAAGAACCCTTGAAAAGACATCGATTCAGAAATCAAATCCAAAACCAATCCATTAAAGCAGAAAAATCACGAAGACAGCAATTACAGTATAAAAATGTTCAACTGAACCTCCCTCCCCCAAAAAAAAAAATTGAGAAGAAAAAAAAATCGACGTATACTGTACCCATAATTTACCTCTTGTTCATACTGCTACTGTTTGAATGATGATATACATAGTTTCACTTCATCTTCATTTTCTTCAAATCTAGAACCTTAGTACAAGTGAAACACTTGAGATTTTTGTAAACGCTCAAAATTTTCCAAGAGCAATTTTGAAGAGTTGGGGAGAGATTTCAAAATTGAAATAACCATAAAAAATAGAAGAGGACTTGGGAAATTTGACAAAAGTCTTGAAGGATCTCACGAATGTGTTGAGAGGCAAGATGACCTATATTTTTGTCTTGAATTTCAATTGCTTTGGTTGTGGCTTTAAGCTCATACTGGAGGATTGAGATTCACGGGAAGAGAGGGGTAGAGAGAGATGAGATCGAGAGCTGAAATGGAAAATGAAGGAGGAAAAGATAGGGCTAAAAATGTTTGGAAAATGATTAGACAAAAAAAGTTATATAATCATATTAACAACATGTAATAAGTGTTGCAAAATTTTAGCCTATTGAACAATATAAACAACAGTTAATAAACATTGTAAAAGGTCAGTCTATTTCATACTAACAACGTTTACTAAATGTTGCCAAAGGTTTCTGTTTTTGCAACATTTAATAAACGTTGCAAAAGTTTAACATTCTGTAGCGTTCGATGGTTTCTTTTTTTGCAATGTTTAACAAACATGGTCAAAGGTTTAACATTCTGCAACGTTTATTTCTGCAACATTTAATAAACGTTGCAAAGTGAGTAACGTGTTGCAAAAGTAAACGAACATTGTGAAAATCTATTATGCAAGTATTTGCAACAGTTAATGAACATTGCTATAGAAAACTTTTAACAACGACATATACACATTGCAAAAAATAAAACTTTCCTAACAGTCAATGGTGACATTAGCAATAAAGTGTTGCCAAATTTTAATTATATTTACCTATGGCAGCATGTATTTGTTAGAATAATGCAATAGACACTTTAGCAACATTTAAATAGCAAATGTTGTCTTTTATGTGTTGCAAAATGTCATTTTTGTTGTAGAGCATGATGTCTAATTAAGTGTTTAGTTGGAATATTTGATTGTAACCTTGTTTTGAACCTTATTTTTAATTAAAAAGTTTTAAATCTCAAATTGATTTTGTGAATTGTTTTTACTTTCAATCTTAATGCTTGGATTAATTGGCCATTAATTCATTGATTTCATGAACAATAATTACGTAAAGATGTGGATTATTTGTTTAGACCATGTAGTAAAAGTTGGTAATTAATTTAAAATATAGAAATACTTATGCTAATTATTATGATTGTTAAATGAATTCTTAGAACATAACTGCGTTTAACTAAGATTTAGTCATATTCAGATATAGAATTAAATTAGTTAAATAGATTCAATAAGAATTCGAGAGAAGTAAATTGAATACATTAAAAGAATTCGATTGGATAAACACGGTCAATTGTATAAACCTTGATGATTGAAACTAAGAGGATAATTGTGATGAACTCATAAATCCTAACACTTAAACCATCATATTTAAAATCACTTTTACTTATTTTATTATATTTAAAATAGAAAATAACAAAAACAAGAAATAAATACTTTATTTGTTTTGGATCAAATAGAAGTTAAGAATAATTGAATCAATTGTTAGATAATAGTCATCGTGGGAACGATATCCAGACTCTTTGGTCCACTTTATTCTAATTCATTCAAATTGTTTCTTTTTTAGTGAGATACTATGGTTTTCTTCTTTGTTTCTACTCACCCTCTCTACACTTAAACTCTTGGTTTTGATGGGTTTTTCAGTAAGCCTTTTTTATTCTTGAAAAGGAAAACACTTGGGAACTTTGGGTTGAGGTTTTACGGTACATTGAAGCAACTTTGCTTATTTCATTAGTGGTTAGGGTTTGTAAGGCCACCGTCATTGCATAAGGGTACAATAGATCTGAGCCCGGTTCTTCGGTACCTTATGCCTTTAGATTGGATCTTCGTTGTAATAAATTGTTTGTTAGATCTTGAGTTTTGTTTTGTAATTACTATTCTGCATAATAGCTTAATATCTGGTTTTCACTAGTGAAGGAAGATCTAGATCCAAGTCTAAAATTTAATCTCGGGAATTTGGATAATATAGGTCTGAAAGGTAAGT